ATTACCTTTTTTACTAAAATGCCCTTGGCTTTGTCATACGGCTGCCTAGGTTGCCCCTATGACACAATTTATCAGAGAATTACCCGATCTGCAAATACACGTGTCACAAAGGTTATAGATCTCCAAAGCCATACGGATGGCTCAGATTCTCCAAAGCGATACGGATGGCTTTGATTCGATTGGACAAAGAGGTCCAAGAGATCAGGATCACTAGTTTGAATTGGATCTATTTAATGGTAATTTTTTCCAGATTTATGATCGTTTTGAGGTTTATTAGTGAGAGAGTGAGATATACTAAATATTTAAATAAAAATTTAAAGCTTAATGCAAAGCTTTCAGAATCCCAGCTCAAATTTCGCCATAAAATGTTGTTTTGATGTCGAAAGACACTTAAATGGATTACATCATAAATTTGGTTTAAAGCTTTACAATAGTTTATTTTGTAACACATTATTTTAATAATTTTATTTTAAGTGTTTATAGATATGTTGAATCTGAATCATTATTAAAGCTTCAAATTTTGCAATTAACAACAGAAATAGAATCCAGGCTATCATGTTTCTAACTCCCAAACAGTGTTCTAATGGGATTTTGAGGTGCAACTTTACTTTCTATCATGCGGTAGTAAGCTTGCATTAAAAAGGGGGAATTAAGTAATACATGAGAAATACCCTAAGCCGAATATTGACTTAGGGTATGGCTATTAATTGAGTGAAATGGCAGAATATGATTTTTGAAGCCGACTCCTAATAATTAAATAAAGCTCAAATAATAATAATGAGAAAAAATATGCTAAGCAAGTTTGGATAACAAATTAAAACAATCAAGAATGGGGCCAATACATGACAATTGTTTTAGTGAGAGAAATAGGACATGTTTTGTGAAAATGGGAGTCCCCTAAAAACAAAAAAAATAATAAACAAGAAATAGGACCTCAAATATCTACCCTTGCACTTAAGTCTGAAGACATTAACTAGGTAAGATTTTTGTGATAATTATTTTAAATAATTTTATTTGACTTATTCTACATGTATTAACCTATATTTAAGAGGTGGACGCATGTCAATATTGGGTTCCTATACATATAATAACTCTCTAAAAATTTTGTTTTAGTATCATAAAACAAGGGTTATTGATTTTTAATTTTGGTAGATATAGTTACAACTTTAAAGATAAAAAGGATTATATTCTTAATAGAATCATTGTAGATGTGGTTTCTTTGAATAGATAGATTAAGATAAATTAATTACCCAAAAAAAAAGATTAAGATAAATTCCTAGTGGCGCGAGTTTCTCGATACGGTAAGTAAACTTTAAGAATATGATACCTCCTTATTTTTGTGGGTTTTTAATTATGAAATTTGATTATTTAAAAGTAACTTTTTGCTGGTGTTGAATAAGAGATTTGAATTTGCTGGATATTTTTTAAGAAATTTATATTAATTAGGAAAAAGTAATTTCAAATTAAGTAATACAACACTTTCCATAATTTTATCCATTTTATGTTGTTTTAAGAAATGGGTTCGTCTTCCCTTTATTTTTCTTTTCAATTTTTAATCGTATGAAATTATATAGAATAATGGATTATAAAATTTAACTGTTACATAAATTTATGTGATTTTGTAATATGTAGGTTAAAATTTGTTATTTTCCTATTGTAAATAAAGGTTTGAGGGGATTATGACCGGAATCTATAAAAGAGGATGTAACTTACTATTAAAAAAATCTGTAAATTTTTGCATAACTTGGTAGTTCCAAACTTCATTCATTTTATGTGATTAATACAATATTTGCTATAGTTCTAAAGGTAATAATTGTTGGATATGATGATATCTAAAATCAATAAATCTCATATATATGAACCCTATTTTATTATAAGATATAATTTTGGTGTTGAAAATTCTTAGGATGGCTTGAAAATTATTTTTTATCTCTAATTATAAAATTTTAGACCCCAAAAATGGTTCAAATCAAATAGATCTATAAACATATGAAAATATTGAAAATGGATGGTCTGGATAATGTGTTGCAAGATGCACTATTTTTGTGTCTCAAAATCAATTTTTTTTTTTTTTCATATTCATACATCTCAATGTCGAGATGATCAATTAGTGGGTTTTTCAACTTCAAAACAACCTTTTTTAAGATGGATATCTTAGTTCGCCTTAATTCTATATTTGAAGGTTGCACATTTATTTTAAGGTTGCAACCTTATATAAATTTTTTTCCTAATGAATGGGCTCCATCTTATTTATTTTTTTATTTCTGTAGTATGGCATCATATTTATCAAATATCATTTTTCTAATTTTATAGAGTAAGACCTATATGAGTAGACGGTTTAATGTGGCTGATGTTTTCTTATAGAGAAAAAATGATTATTATTAATTTTTTATTTTCTTATAGAATATTTTGATTATTATTATTTTTTCATTGTATTATTGTGTAATGTTGGAATAATCATTACTCATTATGCCTTTACCAAGGTACGTTTTGTTTTTGTTTTTGTTTTTGCTTTTGTTTTTCTGCTTTTTTATTATTATTTTTACAAGAAGCTTTATTACAAAATAGAGGTAAGTAATGATTTTTTTATTTGAAGCTCAAAAGCACATGTGTCAAATTAACTTGTATATTTGGTAGTCGGATTGATATTTCATTTGCCTTTCTTAAGATGTTATTTATACATTTGTACATAAAAAACACAGGCTCTCCATTCCTTTATTCATATTCTATAATCATTTTATTTGAATGTTAATTTTATACTTTATACATTCCCATATATGCTAACATCACAGCCCATGACAAAGTTTTCGGAAAATTAGTGCGGATATATAACAAATTTTAAATAAACATTGTTGTCTTTATTACAAAAATATAGTACCACTATTAATAATTTTTGCATTTTTAAATTATGAAATATTAATGCTCTTGAATTTTATTTATGACAACCTTTCATATTTATTATGAAGTTTATAAAAGAAGATTGTGTTGTCTTTCAACGATTTTTTATTTTATTTTTAGATGATATCTTTGTTTCTCTTCCTTAAAATTGTTTATTATTAATATTGCACTTTTTCTTAATGGCTTTTAATTTTTTTTGGGAAGATTATACAGACTTTTCCACAAAAGTCGCATACCAATTTTTTAAAATTATTTATTGTTATGAAATGTCATGCTTCCAAAATTCATATACTCATTTTTATTCTTACAAAAAATTTTAGAATGTCGGAAAATAATAATGTTCTTTAGTGCAAGAATAGAAGTCTAGCTTCTTCTTTTTTATTGAGGAATTTTGTACAATTATGAATTTTTAATATTTTTAGAAAATTTATGACTAGTTATCATATTTCTATTTGGAAATTTTAGATGAGTTAACTTTTCATCTTCTTTTTTATTGATTTTTAATAAATTTATATTTCTTATGATTTTATTATGCATTTGAAATTTTGATAGCACTACTATTTAAATAGGAATCACCATTGGATTTGTGTTTTCCCATTAAAATTTTCAGAGTACGAACACAAATTTTTGTATAGTTTTCAAATAATCTTGATTATTTATCTTCTTCTTTTCCATTTGTTCCTACCAAAATCAATTTTTTTTTACATCATTTCTTTTGTTAGAATTAGGATTATGTTTCTTTCCCTTTTTTCTCGATCTTTCAAGAATTTTTGCTGTTTCATTTACTATTTGTAACAAAAATTTAATTGTGAATTTCAATTTTGTTTTTCATTTATATTTGCATAAAAAAAATGCATATGATTATTTACTTTTCGACATATTTAGACAAACTTTTATTCTTTTACATTTTCTTCTAGTAAATATTTTTAACTATGATATTTTGACCTATTATACTTGGGCGCATAAATATTAATAGATATTTCAAGTTACAAACGTTATAATTATAAGAAAAGTTTACAAGGCGGGCATGTACCTTTGGTATAAGGTGGTTAAAATTATGGTTGACTATTAGATTTGAAATTAGGTTGTTGCATTTAT